AACTAACCGAAATAAAAAAAACGCTTCCAAATTGAGGGCTTGGAACGCTGTGCAATGATGCTCTCGGCTTTTATATTTATAGAATAATTGAGTTAGTGTTTTTGACGATGCTTACCAAGTTTCCCATTGAAACCATTAGTTTACTATCACTAAATAAAAACGTTTATGAGGAAATTTTAGTTAAATATTGAGCTAATCGATGTATTTCTTTTTCAATACTCAATTTCGAAGGTGGCTGGAAATTATTTTCCGGAAATATTAATTGATTTGTGGACCATCTCATTTTTATGAATTTTCAAAAGTTTTCGTTGAAAATTTTTATATATAGGTAAGGACACCCACCACAACGTACGCTGTGGTGTGATCGATCAGATCAGGCCTTATTGGGGCGCGCTCCAGTTGTGTATTAGAGTCACGAAACCTCTTTCTTTGTCTGCCGGTAGGATGGACATCGACTTTTCTTTCAAGTAAATCTCAACTCTCTTAATCCAACCGCGTCGCGACCGGCCAGACTTAGGAAACAAACGTGTCTGGCTGTAATGGCAGCTCTGCACATGCGCTTTTCTCTTGGCGCGCATGCTTTGACCTTGACACAAGCTGGCGCCAGAGATATATCCGCTTCAAATCATTCATAAAATTGTTTTTCGGAGTGCTTGAGGCATTAAAACTAATTTCAGTGAGGAAGCTGCGCATATGCAACACACACAGTACAAGTGCCATGTTTCACATGACGCGGCGCACTTAGAAAACGTTTAAAACTATCGTGTCTCCCATAGAGAAGCACGGGAAACCGGAGCCGGGACAGGCTGCCATTAGCCTCATAGCGAGCAGACATCTGATGGCGTCGATTTGAACCAAGGCGAGGAGAGGATTTTATCTGGGTGGCTACAACGCGCTCAATGTCCAAATTCATATATACGAGTATCCTACACTGTTTGGGCGGGACCAACAAGATGGCTAAATTTCTGTGGTTGTACAGAACAAATGTATCTAAAGTACGCAGTCTTATTGGGTTGCGGGATTATACGATTGAATCGAATAGCACATTGAATCGAAGCTTGGACACTGGTAATGCTATGTGCCATCATTAAATGTAATTTTTAATGAAAAAAAAACGCTTCCTATAATGGAGCTTTAAAACAAAATACGCTCTTTCAGCGCACGCTGGTTCTAAAATTAGTATTTACGTTAGCGCATGCTAAGACAGAAATTTGAGAATAGCGTTCGTCCGCCACGACTTAAAAACCCGAGCATATAGCGCTTGCAATGCCACCAAGTTACGCTTACAATTCTTATTTCACACGCGAAATGCTGTAACTTCCGAAAAAGATGTGTTTTGGCCTGGAGCAACATTTTAGGTTTGTTTAAATATGAGAATGCGATAAGAGCGGTCAACCGGTCTGGTCCGCGTGTGTCGCCTCGGCAAGAGAGGTCCCGTACTGACCCTCGCACACATATCCGACGTCCGTTTGCCGAGAAATGTTAGCGGGTGCAAGCAGCAAGTGGCCGGCAATCTTTGCCAGGCTTGCTAGGTCCTCCAAGCCGGTCGTGAAGTGCACCTCCCGTAGGAATTCAATGTCGGCGTGTATTGAAACTGCAGTACGGAGGATGCCGCCGCCGCCGCGCTCACGACGGCCGTCCACGCGGCCGTAGCCTAGCGGCCGCGGTCCTGGGAGCCGCCTTTTCCTGACTGTGCTCGTCTTGGCTTGAGCCTACCTGTCGCGCATCGCGAATGGTCCTCGAAGGAGCGCAGATATTCGCTTTGTACGCACTCAATTTCCGAAAAATGGTGTACGGTAAGATAGCGCTCGCAAAACGCGGTTAGCGTTCGGCGCATGCGCAGTGGCGAAAACACTATTCTTTGGATACGCAAAGCCTTTGCGTATGCTATTCTAAAACTATTTTTTTATATAGGACCTCAGATAAAGTGAAAGACGTTTGCGAAATTAGAGCGCAGCTGTTGAGGAGGAGGAGGGGAAGGTATGGAGGGGAGGGTATGCCCCTCCTCATCGGTAACCTCTCCTCCTCCGTCGCCTCCTCTCCCCTCCTCCTCTATTTCTGTTTGCCGGCTAAATTTAGCAGGGAAAATGACGTCATATGACACGATGAACAGTACAGCACATACAAAGACAAGGACAGAGATGGGATCATGCACGACACACAAGCGCTGCATACATGTTCCTTCTCTCTGTCCTTGGCTTTGTGTGCGCTGTTCTGTTCATCACGTCATCATACCAACTCGCCCAACTTACAACACTTCTGCAGTCACATGACGTGGTGTTATCGCACAAATTAACAAATTCAGTTTCTCCGCTATATTTAGCGAGAAAATTGACGCCACGTGACCCCAAAACCAATTTGGTGTTTAGGTCATGTGAGGTCAATTTTCCCGTTTAGTCTAGCGGAGAAACTGTAGTTGGCCGCTAAATCTAGCGGAGAATCTGAACTTGCCCGCTAAATTTAGCGGGGAATTCAATTGGTGTTAAGGTCGCGTAACGTCAATTTTCCCGCTAAATTTATTGCGGTTACACCGCCGCCGTAAAATACGGAAACGGACGCCTAAGAGCTGCGCTAATAAACGGAACAAAATAATAGTGGTGCGGCGGTTACTCTCAGTTTGTACGGTACGCACGAATACGTTTTGTGATAAAAGACATGCACTTTACTATACTCTGTGTGACATTAGGGAGTTTTAGTAGAACGTGTTTCCGCCTCCGCAAAGCCCCTCCGCTACCCGGAACTCTACGGGCGCTGTAGCGGTTCCTTCGTTGCGGTAGGCTTAGCGGAGGGGGAAACACGGTCTAGTAGAACTCCCTCTTATCTTTGACCGCAGTCACCAAATTGTATTCAAGCATCCATGGAGCGCCGTAATTATATCGTCACGTTGCCTTGGTGCGGTTTTTATCAACGGCTAATACAATCACAAAAATAAATGCGGCGTGATTCGTGTCGTTCACTGCGTTATTTATAGTGCGTGATTGTTTTAGTGCATGATAGAAAGAAGGCGCACGAACAGGACGACCACCGTGGTGATAGACGTACGGCGCTGTTTAATTAGCTACTAAGATTTGTTGCGTTGGCTAAACGTTTATACGAGTATACAATACACAACACATTAAAACTAAAGACTAAACATTTTAACACCATCATTAACGTGTACGGCCTGTTCCCCAGGTGACACCTTTATTCGTGTGGCAAAACACCGTAAGATTATGGTGGAATTTCGAGCACACTTCGGAAAAGATGCAGAGATCGAACACAGCTAAACCTAGGGTATTATGACCAGGCGCCCCAACTATGAGACGTAGTTTTCTAACACCTTATTGATAAGGTGTAATTCATTTCTCACACCCTCGAAAATAAAAACAATTCGGGGTTTTAAGTGCCGAACCAAACAATGGGCATATGGATCATGCCAGCGGGGGACTGATGATTAAGTTCGTTCACCCGGGAACCTTTTGGCGTGCCAACGAAAGCTCGGTTACGCAGCACCTTCTGCGCAAAAAGCCTCCGGTAGATTACGGGCACATCGGCTGGCTTCGAAACTGCCACTTAGGGATATACGTATGCCAGCGCTTTGTCTCGTAGCCACCCAAGGCGGCAAACGCGGAGATACGGAGCGAGTCTTTAGGCCACACGCCAGGAAACGTGCAATGAATGTTTAGTGAAAGCCACTTGACGCTACTTCAATTGAATAGGGTGTGATGCTTCCAAGACCTCCTTGAAAGGACCTACTGAAAACGGCTGAAAATGAGCACAAACGAATCTGAACCGCAAGAAATTTTATTCCAGAAGCGTTCTTTTACTCTTTTTTTTCTCTTCTACGTTGGTAACGCAACGATTCGCACTTTTGTACGGAGTTTGAGCAAAAAAAAAAAAAAAAGGAACGCAATCGCAAAACAGATTGTAGGTAATCAAAATTGCTTATCAAAGGCTTCGTTCAACCCACAGACGTTCACAAGGTTCACGAACGAGCACAACTGCAAGTTATTTCATAGATTTCCGGATGCGCGTTGTCTTCGAAAGAAAATGCGCGGTCACATGCACACAAACTGCAGTGTGTCGAGCATATTTTTTAAGGCTTCCGTTGCAGCGCTTCACAATTTCTACCACATCAGTGACCACGTCCAATACTCTACAGAAGTTCACCCCTTAAGTAGCATTGCAATATTCTGACGTTCTTGGCACACAATGAAGTAGACGCTCCCTCGCAACCTCAACAGAGGCTTCGTAAGGTCAAGAACGACTGACCGCCACCTTTGTTCTTTAAATTCGTATTCTGAACCATATAACTGCCATATCGCGTTCAAACAAATGACCAAACTCGATCAATCCACAAAAAGGTACGTCTGATTCACTTATCGAGTGGAAACATATCCACAGCATTCCCTTCTTTAATGGCACATTGACATGTCCAACCGAACCGTGATTTTCGTCCGAGGATTGTGGACCACGTGACCAACACGTCACCAATTCCTGCGATCCGGGCCTCATCCACGGACGCTCCAACTGAAATAGCCGAGCGCCTTTTCACTCGCGGATTTTTGAGGGAAGATTGACTCGAAAAGCGTTTCGTCTGGCAACAACACAACATTTTTATTGTTTTTTTTTTTTTTAACAAGGAAAACAAATATGGTGTATCGTTTTGTTCTTCTCCGTTCACTGGTTCATTTTGCCGAGCGAGTCTTGGCTTGACGCGCGAAAGAATGTGCAGGAACGTTGATTAGATGACGCGTCCCAAGTTCATGTTTTCTATTACGACCCGCCAGCGTTTGGTTAAATAAATACACAAAAAATGCATTAACCAACTCAGTCTTTACGATAAGAAAGTTGCGTAAGCTGAGATTTCAGATATTTCTACAAATATATTTTAATGACTATTTATATATACACATGTAGAGATGTTGGTTGGCACTGTAGATGAAGCGCTCGCTGATTCAATGTCGATACTTGCACATGTATTAAAAGTGTGTTGTAAACATAAATGCCGAATATTGCAGCCAGAAGGCAGGGAGCTTCGAAGCATCTAAGGACGACGCGGAAGCAGCTCCACAAAAACTGGAATTTGATCTTGGGCCCGATACGTTACATGACATAGAGAAAGCGAAATCGTCCCAGGCAAGGTCAGTATACCAGCTGAAAGACCAACAATTGCGGACAGAAAGGTATTAATGAACGGTTCACTTTTTCGCCTGCGATAGATCGTGCAGGAACACTAACAGAGAATGGCACCCCTAAAATAAAGATTATTTTAATTAGACATTTGGCATTTAAGCATTTTTAACTCCGTTGTCGCCAAAACAAAGTTGCCCATTCAATTGCACACCTGAAAACACTGGGTCCATTAACACGGATTTTCGTATCTCGACGATCCGGATGATCTCCCAACACATGTTTACAGTGGCGATAATGTTTCTTACGCTGTAAAACGAACTAGAAACATCGGTGCCTGGGCACTGAGAGCTCTAACCTTTACCAAATGTGCAGCTGGATTGTGGATTTAAGACTATTCATCTTGACAGTCAAATAAATCAATCGTTTTGCGCTCTTTCTCGATAGGCGAAGCGACCCGACGACGCACTTCGTTGTCTGCTAGGTACGCCTGTAGGGAGATGCTATAATGAGTTACATTCATAGTTAATTTATGGTCTAAGATCACGTCCGTCGTAGACTCGGGGAAATGCTTTAATGTCATTTCTTACAGAAAAAGGGCTACATCTTAAAATTTCACAAGACAAAATCCACTAACTAGCTGCACATATGGTGATAGTTTGAGTTGCCTGAATCCAGGCGCCAATTTGTTTTGTTTATAATGCAATTAAATGCAAGGGTGCATGCGAGCTGGACCTAGCTGTGTTTGGAGATTTGTGTCTGTCTTTCGTCCCTCTTGTTCCCCTTCTTCAGGGATTATTTTCGTAAATTGTTCTCTTTGTTTTACAACCTACGAGACAGTGGCCACCTTAGGGTATAACAATATACAATATGATGGCAATAGTACCTGTCGAAATTTGACTTTCTAGCCGAAATTTTCTTAGAAAACTTACTTTGTCCAGCTATATTTATCGCGAGCGTACAGCAGTCTGCAAGTAGGTCGTAGCTATACATATTTTGCGCTGACGTCACTTGGCCAGATATAAATTAGCGAAAGGGCGAGAGTTTCAACTGCATTAACGATCCGCTTCTGGCTATTAAAAAGAAGGGCGGACTAACTTCACGTGCAAGTTATCTATATGGCTTGGTTAAAGGGAATCAAGTTTGTCTTTTGTAAAGATGTATTGAAATTGAAATTTTGTATTTCCTACGTTCACTCGTCCTGATTTGACCTTTATCAATTTGTCAGAGATGAGAGCCATATTGTTCTTCAGCAGCAGCTCCCGTAAAACGATACTTTCATATAAAAAAAAAGGTTAACGAGCTGCGATTAACGATTTAGGATGCTGTAACCCATATTAATTGCGATTACCACCACAGATATGCCGGCGGTGTTGAAAGACTCTTCTATCAATTTTCCGACTATGGAAAGAAGTTCGTCCAGTCGTGCAACATGAGTCCCGATGGATACGCGCAGATGGCCATGCAACTGGCGGCCTTCAGGTAAGGGGACGATTCCTTGCACGCGTAACGCGTTTTGCTGGAAATGTGGGTTACGCATTTACGGCGTTCCTTTTTTCTTCAAATTTACGGGGGTTTGTATGGGTTCAGCTTTTTAAACAAATTCTGATTTTTGTTCTTTTTTAGTGTCGCGGTAATGGTGAATGTTTTTCAAAAATTTTGCTGAAGAAGGGGAGCGTATGATTCCCTAACTTCTGGAGAACATTCTTGTGACCCCAATATGTCCCGCTACTAATAAGATAAGGAAACAAGTTAAGGGGTGTGGTCCCGAAAAAAGAAGCAGCCTCAGTGTGGGCTGTATTCTGCCTTAACACAAAGTAAAAGAGTAGGTGGTCTTTTCTTTCCCCGAAGCTTGGGATTTTGCGATTCAGGTACATGTCCGACTTGGGAATTTCTTTTTTCGGGAGCATATCAAAGATATAGTTCCTTAAGAATCATACCCTTCATCTCGTTTCCCTTTCTTATCGGTACCGGGACGTATTCGGATCACGGACACGTTCCCTAGGGATAGAGAAATCCCATGCTCCAGTTCCACTTTCTTGAACATAATCCTAAATAAGCCCTATTGCTTCCTCGAAGCCAAAAATTGACCCTGCAGAACATTTAATCTAATAAAAAAAATAAACGCCACAAGAAGACAAAAAAGGGCTTCAGAACTTGAATAAATTTATTCTTGGCAAATGCAACACCTTACCAATAAACGCTTGTTGACACACTTGACCTAAAACTTCCTTTATGCCGTTTGTGACCGTATACGACAGGCTAGGGTGCCTCCATCTACCGGCCGCTCCACTGATAGGGTCCGGCTTAGCCACACTGAACGCTTTGTGTCCGCTAAGCGTTTTTGCGGAGAAAAATGAGCCACAACTTGGTAAAATTACGCACATTGTGCCATAAGTGTTGGCCCTAAATAATCACAGTTTCATTGACGTTTCTTCAGCAAAAGAAAGTTGTGTTAGAAGCATACAGCTCCTGCGTCGCGAATTTGAGACCAGATTCAGGGAGAACTTCTTAGTTTACGACAACTTAGGTAAGAAGTTCGTAAGTTAAGAACATCGTAGGAAGAGGAGAAAACGGTATTCACGAACGCGTTCTTTGATGAGAGGAAAAAAGCGACGTTCTCGTACGGAAAAACTAGAACTTACCGGTGCTGTTGCTATGGCGACGGCGTCTTCGGCAGCACGAACAACTAATCGGAGAACTCGGCATGATTTGGAGCAGTTCGGAGCACGTGAATTTTTAACAACACAAGCGGCCTTTCCACCACCGCTTGTCTGGGATTATTCGTGTCCGTGCAGTGATATGTCGACGCTAACACGATTTTAACGTGCCCGAATGCCGAGGCCGGGATGCGTAACCGCCTTCGTCGACTGCTACGAACTAGATCGATACGAAGTTGACACAACTGTCATCGTTTGTAAAAGACGGTCCGTGTCAGTCGTTTACATAGCACTGTAGGTGGAAACAAATTACCGCGGCGTTCTTCCCGGCCTAGGAGTTGTAGGAGCGAGCCGAAGTTAAAAAAGATACGTTTGAACTACGAGAGTGTCAACAAGAGCCACGTAAATACCTGTTCACATTCGGAGCAGACGCGCGCGTTTGATCTAAGGACTGGATTCGCGCTGTTGAACCGCGAATTAATAATCGTTTCGGGACCGGTCTTTTGCGATTGCAACTCGATACTGACGTGACACTCGGCAAAGAAAGGTTGGACTAGCATCGCGTAGCTCCCACGGACTGTTATAGCTCGACAGTGACGTGCATCGCCGAAGCCAAAGGGGCCGAAGGTGCTGAACTGACGTACAATTCACACCCTCCTCCTCGCCTCCCCTTCGGAACCTATTCGCTTCCATGCTCTACAGAAGCGTGGCGAGAGTCAGAATGCAAACGGGGCTCAATATTTCGTCTTTCGGACGTGCTCGAGATAAGAAGCCAGAAAGACGGGAACGTGGAGCCGCGGAGGTACTTGTACGTACCAATACGCGGTCAGAGATCCTCGCGAGGCCCCGAACTCGAAGCAGGGGTCTAAGGCGGCGCCCGTTTGAGGGAATATCTTTCTCAATCAGAGGCGATGGCCGTTCCCCCTGGGTCATTCAAAGAACTTGCCCTTTAATCCTGAGCTCCTTTGCAGTGACCTGCATTCGTGTCAGTATAAAAATGGCATACTAATAACAAAGTGTACATACCGTGTTGCGAATCGTGAAGCGAAGCGTGTTGGTAATCCATATGGCGTTTATCTGAGCTCCATATCACACAAACAAGGAGATAGAACCAATGAGAGTCCCTTTTCAAAGACAGAGTTTCTCACCGCTGCCTCGGAAAACAAGGAGACAACAAGGGGAAGAGACTGACCTCTTATTCTAAACTTGAGGTCAGCGATCAAACTATAATACGGGAAGGGTCCACAAGGGTCGTGCGGGCTCATTCCATTCGGAACGCCAGCCGGTCGTGGAAAACCGTCTTGGCAAAGGACCGTCGGAGCAACGGTGCGCCGAGTCGGAGTGCCTGCTAGGCCTATATTCTGCCGAGTTCGCTTGGTCGGGACCGGTGGAATCGTGGCCGTTGGACCACTTCCCGGGTGTTTGTCGATCCAGCGTTCTCGTTCGTCGTGGTCTGTTTCAAGTGCTTTTTTACTTTTTAGAGCGCAGCTCTTAGGCGCCCGTTTCCGGCTTGAGCAGCGTCGCCGTTGGCGTCGCCGTCGCCGTCCGCGTCGCCGTCGCCGTCACCAAGGTCATCCCAAGGTCACCCCAAGCTCACGTGACCTTCTGAGGTCAGGTGACCCCACCCAAGGTCACCTCAAGGTCACGTGACCCCCAAGGTGACCCCACGTGACCCCCTGAAGGTCACGAGACCCCCAAGGTCACCCCAAGGTCACGTGACCCCCAGGTCACGTGACCCCTCCAAGGTCACGTAACCCCCGAGGTCACGTGGTCTCCTGCCCAAGGTCACATGACCCCCGAGGTCACGTAACCCCTCCAGGTCACGTGACCCCTCCAGATTACGTGACCCCTCCAGGTCACTTGACCCCCCCAAGGTCACGTGACCCCTCCCCCCGCGTGACCTCTCAAGGTCACGCCTCCCCGAGGTCACGTGACCCCCACTCCCCGAGGTCACGTGACCCCCACTCCCCGAAATCACGTGACAACCCCCCCCGGAGCATATTAAAGAATGAGGGGAGGAGGAGGAGAAGGAGGAGGGGTCTACCCTCCCCTAGTACCCTTCACTCCTCCTCCTTAAGAGCTGCGCTCCAATTCGGCGTTACAGGGAGTTGTAAACGGCTTTCACTTTTTTCTTGCTGCTTGAAGTCGGGACGCGCGAGAAGAGCACGTAGACAAATAAACGTCCGTTGGGCGTCGCGACCAAGTAACTGAGCGACGCTGTCGGTTATGCTGATTTGATCGTAAAAACTGCGTAAAACAGCTTCGGAGCTGTCGTAGGATTCCGTCGTAACCTGCACAAAATTTATGATAATTTCCTTTTGTGAATACAAATATGTTCTTACGTTTTGTCTTACGCACATTTTTGGCGTAAGATCGTTTTATGACTCGGGCCTCGGAAATGCAAAGCTATTGCCTTCTCATCCGTCAATATTTTGTTTGGCGGCGGTGCCGGCATTTTTACCATGGGTCTTAAAGGCAGCTCCTTTCCTTCTCGACGCTCAAATTCATCCGAGTGCCTATTTTATTTTTATGAAGTATTTTAGGTGCCTCATTTAAGTTGTTACAGGGTATGTAGTATCTCTGCATCACTTTGTGAAACATCATATAAGCTTGCAAACAATATCAACATAAATCAAGTGAATAGATACAGAAGAGTCGAATCAGTGCCATAACAGTCGAAACGATTTTAATTTATGAAATAAAACAAATCTGTAAATAGTACACTCCAAAGCTCACCTAGCACAAAGCGCTTTTTCAGACAAATTATTTTAATCTCTACTGGGGATTTGTACCGGCAACAGTCTTGCTACCACGAGACTCACTTGTCGCTTCCGGAACGTTTATCCACCACACATAAATGCAAAGCCGCATCGCTACACAGCGGTTCAACAGCTTTTCGATGACACCCAAATGTTCACTGCATTGCACTCGTGGTGGGTGTATCTCGAAACAACCCATTCTTATTTGAACCCTTCTCGTTTGAACCCATTCGCAAAACGCCCTTCTCGTTTTAACCTTTCGCATTTCGACCCTTTCTTATTTATACCCGTCTCATTTGAACCCATTCTCATTTGAACCCTTCTCGTCTGAACCCATTCGCAAAACGCCCTTCGCGTTTCGACCCTTTCTCATTTGAACCCGTTGTCATTTGAACTCCGTAGTGAGGTATAGAAAGAAGGAAAAACAGTTGAGGATGAAGGTTGAAGATGAAGCGAAGCGGCACCATCTCTTGCATAGCACACGAAACAATTTTCCTTATGCCTGCGTGCCACCCCGAGTCTGTTGACGTAGCTACGTGGTCACATGGTGACGTGGTTTCAAAAGTGCCAGCGCAGATTCGGTACTTCATTTCTCTTCTGTCGCTGTATTTCGTTAAGATGTCGTCGTGTGGAGCGAATGGATCATTGTGCTAGCCGTGTGTTATTGCTTGTAATGGCAAATTCGGGTGGTCATTTTCCCTGAAAAAAAGTTTTCCCATATCTTCGGCAAGGACGTTCGCGTGGTCAAAGGCTGGCGGGTGCATGCTTTTCGGGTTGCGCTTCTCAGGCGTGTACCGGAAATTTACCAGCAGAAGTTTTCCCGAGCTCCAAGAGGTCGGGCAGCTTTTCTGCCAGACTGTATCCGGTATCGTCACATCCGAATCGGGATAGGGAACCAAACGATACAATGCTCGCTGAAGCGGCAAATAGCGGGTTCGAGTGGCAAACGAAGCCATCGAGACAGGCACCCTTTTGTGTTCTGAGACAAGATAGCAAAAACAACGAAGAGAAAGATAATTTATGTTTCAAAGAAAGTCAACATTTTTGGAAGAATTAGTCCGGCCTGA